AGTATGGTTCAAGCAACAGGAATTGGACTTTGAATCACATGACACATTCCAGGGGAGGGATACAAAGTGGACATGAAAGTAGCCTCCTGCCAGAATTTGTCACACAAGAGCAGTATGGTTCAAGCAACCCTGATGCCAGTGCAAGGATGCGCTGGAATGACAGTGTACTCCAAACATGGTTAGGAGGCAACACTGACACTCAGAACTCACTGAAGTGCTTCTCAGGAGAGGTTGCTGTGAGGAGACTGTTGGAGCAGAAAGAAAAATAGAACAGATAGGCCCTTGTGAGTCATCCTGGGTAGTCAGTTTTCTTGAGGTCATGGAATCCTTTGCAATTTGATGAAAGCTGTCAACTTTCCTCCAGAGAAACGTGTCTATCTGTACATGCTACGTTTTGAAATATTGAGACATAACTCACAAACCATAAAATTTGCCATTCAAAAGTGTACAATTCCACATAAGTATAATTTAGTATATTCACCAGGTTGTACGACAATCATCACTGTCTAATTTGAGAACATTTTCATCACCCCAGGACAAACTTCATACCCTTTAGTAGTCATTCCCCATTTTTTCCTCATCCTTAGCCTTTAGCAACTACTTTCTGTCTCTATGGATTTGCTCATTCTGGGCATTTGTATAAGTAAAATCACATGATATGTAGCCTTTTAATTAGAACTTCTTTCACTTAACATAATGTTTTCAAGATTCATCTGTAGTATAGCATATATCAGCACTTCGTCCCTTTTCATGAATAATATTCTGGAATCATATTCCATTGTATGGATATGCATATGAATAGATATTGCTTATTCATTCATCAAGTGATGCATATATCAGTAACTTCCACTTTTCTTTTTCTCTTATTATTTTTTTCTTTTATGTCTACTTTTTGACTATTACAAACAATGCTGCTATGAAAATGCATGTACAACTTTACTCATTAAAATTTACCAACCACTTCAGAAAGTTGACAGACCCCTGAAGCCCATCTCATGACCTCTTAATCTAGGAAAACTCCTGTCTTACAAAAGGGAATGAATTCAAGAAGGAATGAACACAGTGAATTATATGCATTAAGTATGCCCAGTTTTCTTTGTCTATCAATTTTTATCTCCATAAAGCTACTTTAAAAGTAAAATAAGTTTTAAAAAGAAGCAATGGAGAAGGTAGGAAAACTCAATTTATTGCTTTTACTGAACAGCACTAGGTTACACTTTACATATCCACATTCACTTAACAGCCTTTGCCACTGTATTATTACCCTCACATAGATGAAAAAACTGAGGTTCAGGGAAGGCATGCCAAACTCTTGGAGAAGTGAGGATTTAGGCAAGCTGAGCCGACTACCAGCCTGTGAAAGGCTGCTACACACCCTCTCTCCTCCTGGTCCCACTGAAGCCCCTATTTCCTTCAACTTATTTCTGAATGGAGTGCTAAAACCCTGTCTGCCAACAAGGCTTGTGTTTCGCACCAGCCCAGTGCATAGTGGGCATCCTAGACTGATGTAAAGTGACCCTCCCCTGGTGTGACCCGTGATGAAAGGCCAGCCTCCAGCCAGCCAGTGGGTGTGTCTGTCTGTGGTAAGAATAGCTCAGGGGCACAGAGGGCCTCTCCAGAAAGACTGAGCCATCTGCAGCCTTTGCCTTCAGTGTGACTTCCCTCCGTATTCCCTGCCCAGCGGGGTGGTGGTGTCAGGGTCAGGCTAAGGACGGCGTGTGGCTGGGGGCTCCGTGGAGAAGGGGGTGGCTGCCTTCCCAAGCCCAGCACCATCCACCACACTCTACTTTGTCTCTTAGCCGGTGGACAACCAGCAAGCCATGGTGCGCAGGGAGTCTGTGGTCAACCTGGAGAACTTCAAGAAGCAATACGTCCGAAGGCGGTGGAAAGTACGTCAGGGTTCCAAAATGGGGGGCAGGGGACCGGGGCGGGTTGGTGGTTCTGTCCACGGTCTCTGTACATTCTCACGTGGTGGTTCCTTCCCCTCCTCCCCCAGCTCTCCTTCAGCATCGTCTCCCTGTGTAACCACCTCACTCGCTCCCTGATGAAGAAGGTGCACCTGAGGCCAAGTGAGGACCTGGTGGGTAATGCAGCTCCCTCTTCTTGGGGGGATTTTGGGATGGTCTGGAGTTCAGGGATGTGGCGAGCAGGTTGGTCTTTGTTTCTGGTCACTTCTGCTTGTCCTATCCTCCTCTGCACTGGATTCAGCAGAAGCCAAGTGTTCAGGAGGACACTGGGGTGCAAGGGTTGGGGGGGTTCTGGTGAGGCAACAGGAGCCTCTAGCAGACCCCCAGTGTTTTTGTGATCTCCCTTTTCGTGATCTCCCTGCCACTCCATCATCCTGGCCAAAAGGACTGGGGGCTGTGAGGCCTCTGGATAATCATAACCCACAGACTATTCAAAATTATCCCTGACAATCCAAAGATCTGTTTCAGCATGGGAGCTTTATATTCCTTTTTCCAGTTTTTCCATTTCTGTATTGCTTTAAAGTACCTTTAATGTTGATAATAATGTAGTGCCTTGTATCTGAATAGCTTGTTCTGTTTTATGTAATGAGGGACTTACGGTATACTGGCCAAGAGTATGGCCTCCAGAGCCAGACCACCAGTACTCAATATGTCACTTACCATTTGTGTGAACCTTGAGTAAGTTACTTAATCTCTCTGTGCCAAAATGATATTGTTTGTAAAATGAGGTTAACAGTTCCTACCTCATGGGGGATTAAATGATGGGATTAAATGCTGATATACTCCTATAGCATGGTATCATTAGTGCTCAGTACCTTGTTGGCAGTTTTTATTGTTTAAAATCCTACTGTAGGGTCTAAAATGCAGAGCCAGACCTAAATAGTATAGTTTCAGCAGGTAGCATTTCCCTGGACAGATGTTCCCCTCTGCTCACTCTGTTTGATGAGGGCCCCAGTAGTGTCTAGGGTCAGACGGGTCAGGACAGAAGGTAACTTCCTGCCCTGGGAGGGACAGAAAGGCAGTTCTGAGACAGATGAGCCATCAGACTTGAGGAGCACAATGCTCCGGCCGCATCCCAGGATCCACCAGAGACCCTGCACTGCCCCTCCCACACACACAGCCAGGGTCCTCTTTCTTAAGCCTTAAGAATCTTGTTGAGGCCCTCCCTGGTGGCGCAGCAGGTTAAAGCACAGCACTAAGAAGCTTAAGCCACTTCCGCATGAGTTCGATCCCCACCTGCCCCGGAGGTGACCACATGGCACGGCAGACCTCTCCTGACCCGCCCACTGCTCCCCTCAGCAGTGTACTTCATTGATCTGCCTGTTCTGCTCCCCACTCTGTCTCTGGTGAATCCTCTCACCCTCCGCATCTCTGGCCTGTACCCCAGTTCTGTATGAATAAATAAATCTTAAAAAAAAAAAAGAATCTTGTTGATTCTTGCCCAAGACTTGAGATGTATAGCTCCAAAGGCCTGAAACAAACATGTAGCTTTGGCCAAGCCATGTCCCTTCTCTGACCACTTTCCTCTTTTCCTGTAAAGGGGACTGAAATTCCCTTTATGGATAGGCAGACTTGCTCTTTTATTGCTTGGCTCTGACTTATGCTAAAACTCTGCTATTCAACGGAGCTCGAGTTACTTTTATTGTTATAGACAGGCTTGGTCCAGGATGTATTTGGCTAAAGTTGATCTAGACCTTCAGAGGGAGCATGGCAGAGAGCAGGTGTGCCTTTCAGACGGAGTTGCCCAGATGTAATGTAGTCCATGGGGAGAGAGCACCAGAAAGTCATTGAAAATTACCAATTTTCCCTCTAGTTCTTGTTCTTATACAAACATTTTAAAATAATCTTCACTTTACTCAAACACTTAACATCATCTCTAATGTCTTTCTGAATTAGTAGCCTTTCAATAATTTTAATAATTTTATGAGCTCAATGTCACTTCCAGGAGCCTGCCTTGGCCCTGGTTTAGCTGACGGACTGCATTCTGCTCTTTCCTTTTTCATTAAAGTGAAACACAGAAGGCATATCCTGAATAGTGTGTAGCAAGTCTTGCTGAATAAAGCTGCACTAAATCTTGGGATGTGGAGTGGTGACCCTCACCGCTGGGTAGGGCCCTATGGCTCCCCACCTCCCCACCTTCTCTTTAAGCTGAATTAAGGACACCCCTTAGCCCACTGACCCCCAATCCAAGTGCTCTTGATTGTGGCCACAACAAAGGACACCAGAAATAACTTTTATTATTATTGTAATTTGGTCTCTCCTGGTGCCTGGTTTCCTTCTTCTTGGGGAGGACACCTCAAAACTATTGGTATTTCTATACCATTTCTGGGCCTTCTATACCCCACCCTGGGTCTCTGGACAGAGCAACAATCTTTGCTTCAGCATCTACCTTCCTGGTTTGCAGGTGCATCAGCCCGGTGTGATCCTATTCCTGACATCTCATGACCCTCTTCCCTGGGCCTCTTTTTTTTTCCCCCAGAGGAATTGCGAGAGTGACACAGAGGAGGACATTGCCAAGAGGAAAGCTCTCCACACCCGGAGAAGGAGCAGTACATCCTAACTGAGCAGGCAGGCCCAGGCCCAGCGGTGCTTCCTTCATGCAGACTGTTGGTTCCTGCTCATCACCACTACCCAGGCATTCAGCATCCCTGATCATGTTGCAAGAGAGATGGGCCTGCAGGGGAACCAGGAGACCCTGAGAGCAGTGATTGTCTCCTATGGAGGAGGCTCTGGCATTCCCAAAGCTTTTAATTCTCCATAAATGGGCTTTCATCTGTCTGATGACCTCAGAAGCTGGGGTGGGGATGTGGAGAAAATGACATCGTGAACATTGTGATGGGTGAAATCAGAACCAGGCAGCTTTCCTCACAGGATGAGGGGGTTCCTAACCAGCCTGTTCCAAAATTATATCAGGAAGACAGCCCTCCCCCATGGGAGCAGAGCAAGTGAGTGAAATGCATCTTGGGGTATGAGGCACCAGTCCTGTGACCTCCCAGAACCCACATGGAGTTAGCTTGTCAGGCAGACCAACATATCACACTTTCTAAAGTAGCCCATTATGTTGTATTTTTAATTTTTTGTTTTAAATTAAACTCTGTCTTACTTGATGCTTGGCTTCTCTTAGAGCTATTCACATCTGACTTTATTTAGCTCAGTTGCCTATGATTCTGGAGCAGCACCCAGGGTTGGGGTGCTGAGTGGACAGCGCCTCCGAAGTTTATACTCAACTGCCCCTTCGAGACTGCAGGGCGTCTTCCTTCTACATCCTTCCCTACCAGTGTGCAGCCCCAGAAAATCAACCCAGATACAGCAGTCAAGGCCTGTGCTCCCTCTACCACTACTACCGCCACCTCTGCAGGGGTGGGCTGAGGTGGAGGTCCCAATGCCCATTACTATAGAATGCGACTCTATTTGGAGATAGCGTCTTGAAAGAAAGGAGTAAGGTCAAATCAGGTCACATGACTGGTATCCTTATCAGAAGAGGTGAGGACACAGAGGAAAGACCACGTGAAGACAGAGTAACAGGGCGGCAGCTCCAGCTATGGGACTGAGGCCACAGGAGAAACCGGCCCTGGCGACACAGCAATCTCAGATTTCTGGCCTCTAAAACTGTGAGAAAATAAATTTCTCTTGTTGAAGCCATCCTGTGTGTGTGCTGTTTTGTTAAGACAGCTCTAGAAAACAAATATACCTACAAAGTAGGGCCAAGCTAGGGACAGGAGACTTCGAAAAGTGATGTGGATGAAGAAAGGCGAAGAAGGGCCCACAGGACAAGGGAGAGGAAAACGAGATGGATTACCTGGCTATGGCAAAGGGGTCCTAGTGACAGGAATTGGGGACCCTGCTTTGCAGAAGTTGGTGCTGCTGACCAGAAACCTGGGAGAAGACCCTTGAAAGCCAGAATAAAAAGGATCAGGGTGAGGCACTGATACCAAGAAAGTAGAAGGGAAGAGATGGAATGGAAGGGAGAGAAGTTTTGGGAGGTGATGAGTCAAGAAGTAATGGTGTGGGGGGCGAGGAGTCAAGGGCATCAAGGAAAGGCCCTGAGAGAGAGGAAGGCATCCCTGCACACTGTGTACAGAGCCCGGGGTCTTCGAGGGGCTCTTGCTGTGGCTACTCACATAAATCTGCAGGGAATGTTCTGGAACTGGAGCTCACTGGGAGCTAAGAAGTGAGCGGTGGTTGGAGGTAGGGACTGCCCTCCCACGAGGAAGAGCAGGAGTGGCCTTGACAGTCTTTCTTCAGTCTTTCTTCAGTTTCCAGTTATGACTGTGAGGTTAGCCTTACAGAGTTTGTCTGACCCAATTCTGCATTTCTCTGAAAAGGAAGCTGAAGCCTCAAGAAAGGAAGTGACTAGTTTTGTGTCACATGGCAAATTGTGAAAATGTCTGTTGAAAGCCCTGACTGCTTGTATAGAGCTTGTTTCTTCAGCATGATAAACTGTGGTAGCCAGTTCAGGAAGTGGATTAAGAGGATGAACCTCTTGTCTCATCTTCACACACTTTTGTCTACCCTTTACTGTAGACCCTTCATGGTACTCCATTCTTTGAAATGGAAGGAATCATCACACTTGCTTCTCTTTGTCTTTTTTTTTTTAACTATTATATACTTTTTACATTGGTCTTCATTTTGTACATTTTTTCATCTCAGTTGCAATCCCCAAGCTGTTTGTCTTTTAACCATAAAGGGCTCCACTCCCATAGGGGCAGCTCAGTAGTCAGCCATCATGGGCTGCACCTCAATCAGTGAACTTAGAGTTCTTCATTGGGTGCCCCCTAAGTGCCTGGCACTGTCCTAGATGCTGGATTAGTACAGCAAACAGGACAGATGTGGCCCCAGCCCTCGGAGGCTACACATTCTGTATCAGTCTTGGGAACCCCCGGACTCTGGCCTGCCTCGGGTTGCTCCTTCTAGCCTGCTTCTCATAGGGTATGTAAAGCCCCATTGACCAAGTAGCCTCAGCCCAGCTCTCTGGTGTTAAATGGCACCTGATGGGTTTCTGAAAATTCCCTGGGTGGCACTGTCCAGGCACTGGGCAGAGGGTGGGGGAGCCCCTGAGTATACATATCCTTTGAGGGTGTCTTTAACCCTCTACCCAGAAGCCTGTGTTCCCTCCACTCCCATGTAGGCCTTTCTGTTGGCAGCTGGCTGGTGCCCCCGGTGTGAGACTGAGTGGAGTTGCTGGCCCAGGGGAACCAGGTATGCTCATTTGGCTCTGAAGATGAATGTGTTGGCCAGCTGACACTTGAAAGCTGAGAGAGACCATGGTGTGCTCTGAGGCGAATGGAACATTCCCAGTGACAAGAGCTGTGCTGGTTTAAAGTGCAATTCTTTGAAGAGGTCTGAGGATGCCCTGCCCCAGAGTTTGCCTGTGCGTTTGTAGGATGCGGCATTAATATTTCACAAATGCACATATAAATATTTTATTGTGTTGGTTTTTAATGTCAATCTCACTGACTTTTTTTTTTTTTTAAGATTTATTTATTTGTGCACACGGAACTGGGGTACAGGCCAGAGATGCGGAGGGTGATAGGATTCACCAGCGATAGAACGGGGAGCAGAACAGGCAGATGGATGAAGCACACTGCTGAGGGGAGCAGCGGGCGGGTCAGGAGAGGTCTGCCGCGCCATGTGGTCACCTCCAGGGCAGGCGGGGATCGAACTCATGTGGAAGTGGTTTTAGCTTCTTAGTGCAGTGCTTTAACTTGCTGCACCACCAGGGTGGGCCCCTCACTGACTTTTTGAGTCCAGATTGTAGCATTTGCCTTTTCCACTCAGATATTTATTTGCTGAAAACCTTATTTTGGAAGCAAATGAAGGCTATACCATAAAAGGTGAATCACAGAAGACAAGATGAGCCCTGTGTTCCACAAGCAAAGTAGGTACATGTGAAGATTGCTAATTTGAGGACTAGGATATTATAAGGAATTTTATCTGGCACAGATTTGTAGAACTTTCTTTCCATCTGGTGCCCAGTTAATATTGTTGGGACATTGTTCCGTTCACTGTTGGAAGAATAATGTCTTCCTTGGTGGTGTGCTAAGAGATTCCATTCTAAGCAAACCTAATAGACTTGGGGACTGGAGCAGTTTAAGAGCTGTAAATAATGGTTAATTGATGGCTAAAAAAATAGTGACCTCCCGTTCGTAGTTTCTCTCTTCCTGTTTTTCGTGCTCTTTGGGTAGTTCTTTTTCTCTCCCCCTCCATGCGTTAGCAAGTCATACTCTGTATTTTAGTAAGGTCTTCATTTTATTGAATAAAATTTGTGTTCCCTGGCCTTAATCTAAAAAAACAGTTTGTTATCTAGCGAGAAATGATTTTGTGTTTTTTCCCCTTATTAATCAGTGAATGCCCTGAACTAGCACAAAAATGAAAAAAAGCAGTTCATGATAATTTTTCGAAAGCTGTTCAGCCATAGAACACTTCATGTGCAACATTTCATTTACTCCCATGAGCCCCATGTATATAACTGAGGAAGCTGAGACTCAGTGGAGTGAAGTAATTTGCATGCAGTCACGCAGCTGGAGTACCTGAAATCTGGTTTCCTGTGCAATTTTTGTCTACCTCAAAATCTACATTCTCTACTTTTCCTGGAGAAACAAGTGTTGAATGAAAAAAAGCATCCTGGAGAACCACATACAATATGGTACCTTTTTTTTTTCTTTTTAAGATTAATTTATTTGTAACTGGGGTACAAGCCAGAGTTCAGGGTCCCCAGAGACAGAGTGGGGAACAGAACAGGCAGATCTACGAAGTTCACTGCTGAGGGGAGCAGCGGGGGGGTCAGGAGAGGTCTGC